CAGGATTTAACATGCATTAGGACAACCCAGAGAACAAATCTGGATAACTTTGCAATCTTTGGAATCTGCTTATTCTTTGAAATCCCACAGTACTATTAGAGCATAGAATGTTCTTGCTAAGAAATTACAGAACTGAAAATCAAGTTTTATAAAATATTCAAATGTTTGCTGACAAAATCTTTTCAAATGTTAGAAAACGCTGACAATTACTTTTTTCATGCAAATTTCACTGAATGGCTCAGATCCTCGTAATCATCACTTAATATTCTACCTTCCAAATTATTATTTTTTTGATACACTAGTAACCTTCTAAAAATGCTGTTGGGGCTTGTATATTTGTGTGTATTTAGCTTTCTGATTAGGGACCCTGAATCTAATTATGGTAGTACAAACGGACTGTGGTTTTGTTTTGGAGACAGCAAAAAAAAATTTGCTGATTGATTTGTGCAGTTATTATTTGGTTTGCCACATCCTTTGTCATCAATGAGACTTTCTCAATCACCAGGATTAAAGGTGGAGGGGAAAAGAGAAGATCATGCAGTATAAAGAGAAGTGCATTTAAAAAAGTTAGAATGCAGTAAGTTTTACATATTGAATCTACGATCAAATCCAGAACCTATTTCACCGCATGCAAAATGATATTTTGGAACCTATTCTTTGGTAATTTTTTGAAAATTATATATCACATTGGAACTTGATTAAATTAAAAATTATTGTTAAATTTTTAATTTTGTAGATGATTAATATAACCTGCATTCTGAAGAGGAATTGCTTTTGCCATTAATTATCTTAATTACCAATATTAGTAACATGAAAATGTTTCTTTTTTTTTAAAAAAAATGCTATTTTGCAGCAAGGCTGGATCATGTATAACTGTACATACTTTTTTTAAAAAATATTATAAGATAGACTGTTGAAAACATATTTTATCCCAATCAGTGTGTAAAAATAAAATTATCCATAATCACGCCATGTTCCTCTATCATACATATCATACAGTTTAGCTGTAATGATCCCCACACACTACACTCGCACATCAATTATGATGATCATAATAACGGTCGTTAAGCTCAATGTTCATTATTATCTGGATGCTGGTGACAGCAGATTCAATCATCGGGTGCAATGGGCAGGCAGTCACAGTCCCACCCAAGTTTCTGCAGACAGCGATGTGCCACATTAAGCCTATGATGTCTTCCACATCCCACTTCATTTCAAAAGCTGCAGACGGTAAAGGTCAACTTTATGTTCTGTGCAATATGCTTAGGTTCTCTAAATTAATTGTTTGGAGTACTGGCTATTTTTATACTTTGTAGTATATTAAAATTCTATCTGAAAACAAATATACAGGAGCAAATAAGGAAAAAAAGGCTGGCTGGTAAGTCACCCAAAACAAGGTGTATGCCATAAAGTACTACTGAGTAAGATCTTAAATAGCACTTCTTTATTTTGGGAGAGAAGGAACATCTCTAAAGTTGCTGCCATTAGCAGTTATTGGTCTAAAATCTTTATATTTTTTGTATTAAAGACTGTGGACTATCATTTCATTTTGATGGATATGAATTTGTAAGCATTTTGACAAGTGGAAGATTACTTAATAGTTCTTATCCCTTAATTACCTCATCACAAGGGGCAAACCATTGTTGATTACATTTTTAGTGCCTAGTGCATTCTTATTTCTAAAACTTCATACTTCCTGTAAATGTATTATTAATCATTTGGGATTTTCAACCTATACCAATATACAGAATAACAGAGTTAGAAGGGACCTTGGAGGTCTTCTAGTCCAACTCCCTTCTCAAGCAGGACACTATAGCATTCCAGACAAATGGCTATCCAATCTCTTCCTCAGATTTTGTTTCAGGAACAAGAGTGAAAGCACCATGTTTTAAACTGAACAGAATGCTTGGCCACCTAATCAGGATGCCTGAGCTTGGTTCCCAAAATTGTCTTTATAAATTAGAATATCACTTCCTTCATATTGTGTTTGTCTCTAAATTTTTAAATGCAGTTCTCAGCTCAAAATCACATCCAAAATTTGTATGTATACTTGTAAAATTTAAAGCTAAACATTGTGTACTAGAAAATATATATATAAGAATGTAAAACTGCAGCAAAATAAATTCACATTTTTTATTTTAAACAAAGATCGCAAAATCATATTGACGTTTTCTGAAGATATATAGCTGAACATATGGAGATAAAGAGTTAAGACAGCTTGATTCGAGAAACTTTCTCTAAACAATGCACTTTAAGATAAACAAACATTGTAATGTATCATGACTTGTTCATGTCACAATTTTTGTTATAGGCATTTACTCTTGATAGCTTTTTACCAGTTTGTCCTTTGTACCTTTGCTACATGGGCTTAGTGTCAACGCTGCTAACATCGTATGTTTTGCATTGACAACAGATGGAAATGTAGCCATCTTTTTCCCTTTTGCTTTTAGAGTTAGATGATGCTGGGAGGGCGGGATGTGAATGAGAGTCTAGCTAGACATAACAACACTAAACTTAGCGTGAGAATCAAGGTTATTGAGCCCAGAGCTGATAAAGAATTGGTGGGCTGGAGAACTGGAGAGGAAGCCCGTGCTTCAAGCTAATTGGGGAATGTGATTTATGACTGTTAATTGGAGGAGGGAATTGTGCTTTGATTCTATGTGCCCAGGGGAGGGGAATTCAGTTTTTGGCTTCGATTATGAAGTGCTGATATTATACTACTCGAATAAAAGATTCTTTAAGGTAAACAATGCCTCGAAGTTTTTTTGAAGAGTTTCATCTGTCGGAACCATGACACTTAGACCTTCAAATTCTTGAAGACAGAAAACAGTGAATCTGCAGTTGCTACCACTGTGGCAGGAACCACTGCAGGGTAAGAGCAAGTAAGAGCAACCCGTCATCTTAATTTGGAGCTTTTCTATTTAATTCTCCTGATTTTAATTTAGTTCATAACCAATGCAGCTCACCAACCTGAAATGTAAGGTGTGTAGTTCTTGAAGCATACCTAACTGTCCATGCTACCACATTTTGTACCAGTTGAAGCATCCAGATACTCTTCAAGGGGAATCTTATGTAAAGCATATTACAGAGTAATCCATCTGGGAATTGACTAGGGTATGAGATGACTGTGAGTAGAATCTCTCAATCTAGAAATAGGTGCAAATGGTGCACAACATGAAGCTGTGCAAAGACCCTTTGGCTATGACTGATAGCTGTTTTTTGAACAGGATATGTGAGTTCAGAAGAACCCTCAAATTGCACACTGGATCTATTTGGGGTAGTTCAACTCCATTCAGGACCAAAAGATGATAAATCCCGAGATATAGAGGGTCCCAAACCCAAAGCCACTCAATCTTACCAGGGTTTAGTTGAAGCCTATTTTCCCATCCAGACTGCTACAGCCTCCAACCATTGAGAAAGGATATCATTTAACTCACCATTAGCAGAGATATACAACCGGGTGTCATCAGCATATTGATGATTCCTCACCTCATGTTGATGATCTCATATATTGGCTTCATATAAATATTAAACAGGACCAAAGAAAGTATTGAACCCTGCAGCTTCCCACATAGCAGGGGCAGAAAGCGGGACTTCTCACTCCCAATCAATACAAATTGGGACCGGCCATAGATCATAAAAAACTGTGACCCCCATCTTCAACTCCAAAAAGTTAGCTCAAAAGTATAACACGGAGAAAGGAAGATAACAAGCACAATATTGTGTCACACACTTCTAACCCTCAAAGAATGCCAGGGTTGATAGCATCAAGAGATCAAGTAGAACAAGGATGGACACACAACCCTATCCCAGCAGAGATCATCCAAAAGTGTAACCAATGCCTGAATCTGGACTGAAAGGAATCCAGATAGTCCACTTTATCCAGGTACCTCTAAAGCTGCTCCAGAATCTTCATGAGATAGGCTTTAATAGTGGCTATTACTCTTATTAAATTGAGTTTGTTCCTTGTTGATTTCCAGCAGCACTCCAGGCATTTCTTCATCCATTCATCTCTCTCAACTTCTCCATAAATCACAAAGAATATTAGGATCCAAGGGGAAGGAGAGGTTGCATAAGTGCGATCCATTCCATGGCCTCAGCTGTCCTCTTGTGCCCTCAAGTGACGACCAGGGCCTCAGATGAAACATGTAGCAGATCATCAGGAATAATCCTTAGCTGCCTCTGAAACCCTTTTGGCCATCAATCACTGGGGACACACCAATCAAATAGCCCCCGCCTCTCTGATAGTGCCAGAGAATCTCATGACCACCAGGAGTGACAAAGGAGTCAAAAAACCTTCACCGCTCCCAGATCACATCTTCACTGTTCTGAGAGGAAGATATCAGGTGTGTGACCACTCTCTTATGTGGATGGCCTGTGATAGGCCCAGGGGCTGTCATAGTAACCATGAACTCCTGAGCCATCTGAAACCCAACTCCCAGAGAAGGCAAATTGAAGTCCCCAGGACCATAAATCTGGGGAATTCCTCTGCCACCTCTAAGTTAAGAGTCAAGGAGTTCTATTCTTGAAATCTATTTTTAAAAACTGTTGAATACATACTCATATAATCATTACAGCAGAGGAGGCAAGATTAGTTCCACATTCAACTCCTCCCTGCCCTGTCATAATGGTGTTCCATTATTGTAAAAAATTCAAGAAAATCACTACATGCCACATGTACCAGGATACTGCAGGAATTTTTTTAACAGAGGTCAACATGCAGGTTGCTTGAGAAAATATAGTTATCTCATTTTTTTTGTTTTTTAAAGTTTTGCATTAATTTTTTTAGTAATTTCTAGTCTCAGTTATTTGGTGAGAAATAGAAAAAGGAATTTGAGGACATATTTTATTCTCACATGAAATGTTTGCTAATAAGATTCTATAGTTTTCCAAATGAAGTGTTATTTAATTTTAGTAGAAATGGATTCAGTGGATTATATCTAATTGCTTTGGCTAGCATTAAGAAGTTGTACAGTATTTTACCCTTGTATATAGCTCACCTTTTTTGTTATCCATTTCTCTGGGTGTTCTTCCCGGAAATGCTTGAGTCCATAATTTGACTGACCATATTTGCTTGCTCTCTGAATGGATGGAATATAGTCATCTGGCACATTATATGAAAATGGTAAAAATCTGAAAAGTAAAACATTATATATAATTATTTTTCTTCTTATCTTACTAATTAGAAGACATGTACATTAGCAATAAGAAAAATGTAATTTAAAATAACTTTTTATGCCATAATTATCAATATTGTTTCATAGTGTACTGATATAGCCAACAGTTGCAATAGTAAATTTGCAAACAATAGTACTATTATACTACAATAGTATAAATATTCATTGCAGAGCACAAAATACAAGTAAGTTAAGAATTAAATTATGTTCAAGTGCCAATCCCATCTAGATATTCTTTCCGGTTGAAACTGTAAATGCAACTGTATAAACTTTTGCTATAATATGTATGATAGAATTATTTTTATTGGATAAAAATAAGAAATGTACAATTGTCCTGAATGGCTTGGAAATTGGAGCAAAAGAGATATATAAGTCCAGTTGCCTTTTGAAAAAGCACCTTTGGGAAATCTGCAACTGGAGAATGGAAGGATTTATATTTCTTGCAGCCATCTGGTCGCTAACTCTTTCTGAGAGCTGTTAAGGCCACTTGGAATTTATCTGTGCCTTCAGGGTCACCTGAGTAGTGCAAATGAGTGTGGAACTTTCTTGGAACTGCTGAAAGGACTGTGTTTACAACAGAAGGTTCCACACTCATTTGCACTATTCAGATGATCCTGAGGGCATAGATAAACCTCCAAGTGGCCTCAACAACTCTCAGAAAGAGTGCCAGTTACGAGATGACTGCAAGAAATATAAATCCTTCCATTCTCCACCATTCAGTCAGAACAGAAGAAGCTTCTTGGATGAGAAGCAAAACATCTTCAAGGAAAAACAAAGAAAGTCCAATTGCCTTTTGAAAAAGCACCTTTGGGACAACCATGACCTGGATGACTGAGATCGCCATAGACATTAAGGACAGATGCACTCCTTATATTCATTTTTTTCTTCTGTTCATCAAGTCACTGAAAACAATAGAACCTGCCATTTTGGCGTTAAATTACTATTTAGTTTAATTAAATAAATGAATTAAATAAAAGATAAAACGCTCATCCCTTGTGATTCAGTTCCATCTTATTTTGTTTTCTAAGTTTTTTTGTCTCTGCTATATTGACACATTCTTTCATTACCTCCTGCTTGGATTTTTGTAGTGTGTTTGAATGGGGATGCCCTTCAAAATGTTCAGAAATTACAGCTGTTTCAAAATATTGCTGCCAAAGTGCTCACTATATGACTCCTTTATTGCTCCAATAAGTAATTACTTTTAGAGCTCTAAACAGTTTGGGATTAAGATGCCTAAAGGATCACCTCCATCTGTACAAGTGCACCCGCACTTTAAGAGGCCATGTCCATGATTTCATCCAGGGTCATGAAACTTCTTTCCCTCACAGATTATTCCAGAATTTTCTCTACTTTTAGTTAGTTAGCTTGGTAGATATTTATATGTGTTTCTATTAACAGTACTGAAAATGAAAAAGAAGATTCAGTATTTGCTCAGAGGGAGGAAAGGAGAAAGAGAAGAATAAAAGCAAGCAAGCAATAAAATGAAATAAATACCAGAAACTAGGACTGGGAGAAGTAGCAGCCAGAAAAAAACAACCCAAAAAATGGGGACCATGCAAGTGAAAAGCTGCCCCAAGCAGGAACAAAAATTGGAAGGGGGGGAGAGAGATTTGAAAGCATAGACAACAAAGGGAAAGCAAAGATAAATTAATGGGAGTATGATGGAAATGGAATAAAGGAAAAAGTAGCTATCATCAAGTTTGGATGGCATAAAGCAAAAGGATCCTCAAGGGAACTGAATCACATTACTTTAACAGAGGTCTCAGTAAGGTAGAGTATCAATAAGCAGTAGAATCAGTAGAGTAGAATTTTGGAAACTATTCTAGGTAGGGATATTATAATCAGTTAGTTAGCACAGAAATTACTGAGGAAGAGCTACGCTATAACCTCTGATGTTTACTTATTAAAATATTTTTAATCTGCTTCACATCATTGATTTATGATGGAGCACAATGAATAGACAACCATAGAGATTAAAGAACAAATAAAACACAATATTTAATACACCAAACCAAACAAAAACCGATTGTATCTTCAGGTTTGTGTAGACAAGCAGGTCTTAACTAAGCGCTGAAATCGGGTGAATCTTAAACCACTGAAGGAAGAATATCTCACGATTAGGCTGCCAAAGCAGAGAAGGCCCTATGTTCCATTTCCCCATGATGAACTAATGCAATGATAACCTTTCATCAGCACTTTATACCTTTTATACCTTGGCAGGTATAAAACAAAAAGAATTGCTGAAATGTAAATGACTGAATTTTTACTTTAAACATCAACACTTAATGCAGAGCAAAAGCCATTGTCCTTTGGTGCAATCGTTTTATATATCACTTGTAAACAAATCTAACTCTTACATTATATACTATGGGTTGCTATAACTCTTCATCTTTTTCTCAAGGGCTGTGCCACATGTAGTACTTTTAGCTATAAGCTTTCATGAGATCATCTTCCCCACTACATCTCTAAATTTTTGCTGAATTGGAATAACTCAGGTGAGGTGTTAAATTCTTTCTATAAAGAAATTTATAAAGTTCTTTTCTGAGAGGTTATGTAGAAAAGTGTGAAAAAGGGGAAAATTGAGGACAGTTATATTTTCTGAAGCATTAACAATATTACAATATATTTGCTGTGTACTACTTTTATAATGTCAATTAAAAAGCCTACTTATTTTAAAATAGCCTGCTCATTTTAATAAAGTTATTTAAAAATTCTCTGTTGAAAGAAATTAATATTTTATCAGCTGTAAATTACATCAATAAACCTTCCTTGTGGAGAAACAAATTGGTCTTTATTAGCATCTGGCCAGTCAAATTGCCCATAAAGCCTTCCAAACCAAGGGCTCTTGAAAATTAACAAAACAATAGCACAGGAGAAGCAGAGCTTTAAATTATACAAAGCTACAGAAGCATGTATATACTCATGGGACAGGTGGTTCTCATATAAGATGGATTATAGCACTTCCAGGGCTAATTTGCACATGGGATGGACATCACACACAAAAAAAATTAATGTGGCCCCAATGTCCCTGAGTATACATAGGAGGTACAAAAAACCGGCTGCTCCACTTACAGTTTTTATCACTTCTGAATTGCATTTTAATAGTACATTTTTCTTCAGTTCAGACATTAAAGAAAATTGGCTCTCTCCAGGGATTGGATGACGACTGAAATGACAAGGCTAGTACTTAGGAATTTGCCTATGGAAGCATGGAATTTAGTCAGTCTTAATGTTCAAAAGAAGTTTTGCTTTTTGTGATAAGGTGCACGTTGTTGCAAACTATCAGTGACAATGTTACTTAGTTACTATAGAAATATGTACTTTACGGTACAAATTCCATTATTTCTAGGATTACTGATACTGCTACCAGAAATTAAATTTAAATTTATATTCCCAGGAAGCATGTTATAATAAAATAACATGGAGAATAGCCAAGATCGGAAAGAGATATTGAAGATATTTTTGGAAAATTAAAGAATTCATGATCCAAAGGAATAAGTAAATTAAAACATGTAACAAAATGGCTTTCACTAAAGTTTGAATATGAAATTGCCAAACCAGTGAGGAGCAAACATTGAATTTAAATGATTTTAAATGGTTATATAGAACCAGACCTCCCTGTTTATAATTTGGGAACTGCAAATTAAATCAGAGAGCTATGTTAATCTGAATAAGCTGAAGATTTTGTGCTTTTAGAAAGTTGCTCCTCAAATAAGTGTAAAAATCATGTGTTTTATTTAATGGTCCTGGGTGGGAATTTGATTTTTACAGGATGTGAATTTCTGCTTTGTAAAACCAAACTCCACAAAGAACTGTATTCAGATGAAGAATATTGCAATGCTATAATAGCTGCAGAGCTTGCCACATGCACTATATTGTAAAGTACTCAGGTTTTCTGAAATAATGTATAATGAACTCAACATCAAATTGTAAGGGAGCAAAGCAACATTTTATGTAAAAGGTTGCACACATCTGATGAAAACCATAAAACTCCATGTAGTAAGTTAGTTGAGAACATTTGGGTAAAAATAAAGATAAGGAAATATTACTGATATCATTGTGGAGATATGCTTCTGGCTACCGAAATAGGCAGAAAACTTAAATAACACCTTGCAGTGTCCACTGCCTTCTGTAATGACACAAAAATGACAACATGCACACTGTAATGTCATAAAGCAAATATTATTACACACTTCCATCTTGATACCTGACATAATAACATAAGAAAGACATGGCATTTGTGTGATGGTGTTTTAATTTTGCCTCGCCTACCTGGATATATCTAACGTTCTACATTCAAATTACCCAGGAGAAATTTGGAGGGATGAAAAAAAATCAGTAATGTTAATATTTGTTGGCAGACAAATTCTACCAATAATAAATAGTTTCATACATTTTTGATTTAACTGGATGAATTTATGCAGAGGAAGTCATCAAATCAATTGGCAGTAACACACAACAGGATAGAATACCCAGAGTTAGAACAGTCTTGGCAAGCTGGCAAGCTTGGCAAGTAAGTCGAAGCCAACAAAATATATTTCCCAAATTCAATTTAAATAGGAAGAATAAACTACATAAATATAACATTAATCTGTAAAGAGCCAAGGAGATGGTCTTGAAAGAAATATTCAGAATCCACTACATACTCACAATGTACATAAGCATTCCTTAAGTTCTGAGAAGAGACTTTGGATGACTCATTCTCTGGGAGTATAAGAGGGAGAGTAGGAAAAACACCTCTTTCAAGACTTTCAACCATACTAACCTGCAGCTGATGTCAATAAAGTATAATTCTGGTATTCTTGAGGAGCCAGTTTCCTGGTCTGGACTACCCAGTAGAGTTCACTTAATGAAAACTAATCATCTAAATAGGAGTCAGCTTTGCAATACAGTATGTAAAAATCTGGTGATTCTAGATTAGAATAATAGGGGCCTAGCATCCAGACTCTTATCAATATTTTTCATTATGTTTTGATCAGGTTTTATTGGTATCTTGACACTGCTATTTAAGGGTAGTCTATTCTATCACTGCTGTTGAAGGCTATTAACACATATAAATGTGGCTATAAGGATGAGTGAAGAGATCTTATTAGAGTTGAAGATGTTTGTATTTTTATTGAGGTTAGAAAAGATTAAGAGTTGATAAGACAGTCCTCATCAAATATTTGGAGGATTTTCATACATATGAAGAAGAAAATTTAATTCAGATAATTCAAACCAATAAGATTATATTATAATATAAACTATTTCTGCCAAATGTTTAAAAAATGTTTAAAAAACAGCAGAAAATTCTGGTTACATAACATTTATATTATTGACCAGTTATCAGTTTTTAACATTGCATACTTCTCATTTTCTGATATTAAACTACACTGTTTGATTGTAATACTAGTTTACAGGAGAAGCAAAAGTTTCAGATAAAATGCAGCTTAGTTCCTATATAATCAAAAATAACAGAGACTTCTTAATTGCAGACAATTCTAGAGCTCCTTAATTATAGAGAGGCTTATTATCTGCATCCCCAGTGTTATAAAATACCAGAACTTCGTTAGAAAAATTAAGGTGGAAAAATGAAGGCAGTACTTTGTAAATTTCCAGTGGAAATTAGCTAGAAGAGGGAGAGGAATACTGGATCAAAAGAGGGTAATCATGCTTAACTGTGCCCTAGAGCACCAGCATTTATAATACGATTTTCTCAATAACTACCATTCCTATTACTGCTTGTATGGGGTATTCTGTGTTAATGGGGTTAGCTGATTTAGTATTGTAACTTAAAAAGGCTCTGCTGATTAATAAATGTCACACACTGTGCTAGTAATTAAAGTAAATGGAAGAGTTACAAACAGAATGTTGAATGGTTAAGAAAGCATTATCTGAAATATATGATAATCCCTATTTATCAGAGTACAGTCATAGTCCAGAAAATATTCAAATTGCTAAAGTTAGAAAGCATCTGAAAAACTAGACATCATTTGAAAAAGAATCCTGATATATGAGATTGGTTCAACATAATATTGAGTGTTTGTTTTACAACTTCCCTTTGTGTAAACACAAAACTAAAATCTGAAATAATTTGTCCAAGTGAGGACAATACATACTTGGAAATATCTCATGCTATATAAAAACAATATGGGCAAAGAAGTTCTCAAAAACTGATATAGGTAAAATACTTACACAGTGTTTTGACATGACCTATTTTGGAAGATTGATGAATTAAATAGGGGCTACTGTATTTCACATCCCTTCGCTGCTCCTAAGTAAGTCCAATGATAGATCTGCTCTCCAATCAACTGGAAGTGGTAATTAGTACTATCAAAACAGGCCAAGCCTACCATGACTAAAAAGGCAGATGCTTCATGTAACTGATCATGCTTTGAAAATGAAGCAATTTATTGTTCAAGTTATTATTATTTGAGTTGAAAAACTAAGTTGTTTAGTTTTATATCAGGTGCAAAAATAATATTGATTTCCTTGGACACCAAATATTGTGATGGGTGAAGCACTATTTGTTATTCTACCTTAGGCAACTAAACATCTTGAAGTGATTCTGCTGCATAAGCTCAAACAAACATGGGTAGAAACATTTGACTGTGTTAACTATCTTTGAAACTTTTGCTACTACAAAATCTTATGGTAACTAAAAATAAAATTAATCCTTCGGTATACAGCCCTAAAGGAAAAATGAGACACAGTTCCAGTTAAAATCACATAATGTATTTTAGACTAGAAATGAAATTTTCATATCTAAGGGTTAATAATGTCTTTCTGGACATTTTCTTATTTTGAAAGGTCCATTATACAGCAAGTCCATGATAAAATTCACTTAATAACTTAAGGTATTCTGAATGTTAAAACAATATCTGACAGCATGAAATGTTGAAACAGAGGGAGAGGTTCCTATCTGAACAATTGGGTCTATGCAGAAGAGTAGATGGGATTTTTAAGTTAGAAACAGGCTTAAGTGAACATCTAACAATGTCTGTATAAAGATTAAGAAATTTAGCTAGTATTAATTTCCTTCTTTAAATGAATAATTGCTCAATTTCCAATCCTGATCAGTCTCCCGCCAACACTTTCCTTAAATATTACCTGTTAATGTGCACTCTTATTATAATACAAATAATATACAAACTGCGTGATGAGGAATGGGCTTATACTGAAAGCTGGTAAGTACTTTGGATGGAGTTGTTAACAGAGTAATTTTTCAGGAATATTTAATTTATTTGATCATGCTTAATGCTGTAAAAGAATTTGTCAACTGAAGTAACTACTTAGTATTTTTTAATTTATACACATAATTGGTGTTTTCTAAGGTAATCAATCAATCAGTCAAATTACTACAGAATAATAATCCAACCAATGAATCAATCTGTTTAGAAAAGTCACATTTAAACAGATTTTGTCCCCATTCATTCTAAATAAACTGAACAAGCTTAAAGCACCAATATATTAAATAAAACATAAAAGATAAGTCACATACACTTCATCGTTTATACGGTTTCTCCATTCTTCTTGTTTTTGTTTTTCTTGGGCAAGTTGAAGTGAAGAACTTGAGGGTGCCACCTGCACAGATGGTTCCAAGGGTTTGAAGCGTTGGTGCAGTACGTCAACAGTATCACGGAAGGGTCCCTGAGAGTTTCAAATGAAATATTTATTTTTGCTTTCTTTTATTTTGGAGAAGCTTAGATTGTATACAGAGAAGAAATAATGTTTGCAATTAATAACTTCATTTTAGAATCCAACATTTCCAAAAACTAAAATTAAGACTAGCCATGAATGATTAACCTTATAGATGCTGATAATTTCTAGAAAAAGAATCATGATATTTTCTTAAAATAAAAACAATAATGACTGTTTGCAGTTTGAAGCTTAAATGTGTTTTGTTAGTTTTTATTGTGCCACAATTTGGGGTTTTTTCAGATGCAAATAATATAAAAACATAGATATGTTTTTACAATACTAGAGGGAATGGATAAAGATGTGTCCCAACTGTTTGTAATTCTTTGTGCGACTAGCTCACTTAAATTGCAAAGTACAGCATAATTCTATAGATATCTATTCAGAATAGCTTAGAAGATTTTTTTAAAACTAATAACTGAAAGTTAAATATAATTCCTCACTAAATTCTTGCTTTATCTACTTAAAAAAACAAACCTTTTCTAAATCAGACGCATTCTATGGTATATATGTAAAATGTTTTGTTTAAACAGATTTTTTAATGTTAAAAATTAATAATTCTCAGTATTTTTTAAAAGGGTGCATTACAATTTCTATTATTTTAACCATGATTTTTTTTACTATATTTAACAATTATAAAGTTGATTATTTTTCAATTATCTTAAAAAATAGGCTTATTATATATTTACCTACAGCTTTTGATAAAACCTACATTTAATATTTAATACAAATAAGTAATTATCTGTGCACTGAGTTATGGTAGAACTTTTTATATTTTAATAAGCAACATGTCTTTTATATAAGAGCTCATTCTCAGAAACTTCAAATGAAGTGGAAAAACTGTATGTAGACCATAACATTTAAGGGTAAACATGGATAAACAATTGTTTTTCTACATGGAAAAAAACAACCCATATTACTAGCTGGCTGGCACAGAGAATAGTTCTCTAGCCTCTCTTTTTTATATACATGTGACAATGTTCAATATGTATGCATACTGTAATTGCATTGGTTTGTAGTTAATGGTGTAGGGATTTTTGAACATATGAATGGCTTATAAACTAATTCCTACACTGCAGTTTTCTGGAAAAAGACAATGTTGTCAGGCCTTGTAAAAATTCCTTGCATTACCTCTTGCTTTTAGGTAATTGTGAGTATAAATTCACCAAGACTATCATTAGCACTATAACTTGATACCATTTACAGTCAGCTGTGACTTTGCTGAGCCACTAATTACAGCCTCTTTCCTTTTTTACCACTGTTGTTCTACTTGTGTGAAGTAAGGAAGCAAATTCCCCTCCTTCCAAAGGAAGTGAAGGCAAAATCCTAATCATGCCTCTTCTTCTGAAGGATCTCTTTAAATAGGTTATCACTAACAAGTCACAGCTGGAGTTACTGCAAGAACTGAGTGAAGACTGCAGGGCTAATAAAAAGAAATGATTCACGCCTCATTTATGTTCACTTATGTTTTACATTAATAGAAACCAATAATAGGAACCAGTTACCATAAAAGTCATGGACCATAAATAACACAAATGGCAAATAAGTATCATCTAGTACTTTTCACAGCTGGACAAGAGGATTGCTATATTTGAAAGTTGTTAATGGATTTTTACTGGAACTTTATTTTTTAAAGGCACAAACAGCATTCAGATTCCGTTGACGATGTCAATAACTATAGTAGTTGTGAATTGTGCAAGATTTCTTCTGCACCCCCAATAAATTTATTTCTATTTCAGAACTTTTAAATGATTGCAAAAGAAATTTAAGAGATGGGAGGGAGATGGACGGTTCAGAAATGTGAAATATAAATGAATATGTCACATGGACATGGATAAACAAGTTAGTGACATAAAATAATACACATTATTTATTAAAGTTGTTTGGAAAATTTGCATCTAAGACCAATAAGTAAAAAGAGAATTAATTCTGACCTTATCTGACTGTATTGTATCGAATACAAAAAGAGGCCTTCGGTTTTTTGTTTTGTTTTTGTAGTTCAAAATCCATCCAATTCTTCTTATGTGACATTTCAGAATAAATAGTACAGTTCAGCACAGAAGCAAAGTTAGCATGGAACGGAGTGGCAATTCACAATCCATACAGTAATATTAAAGTTGGATGGATAAAGACTGCACTTTATAATATCCTAATAGAGACGTGACTGAAAACCCCCTTGAAATTACATATATTTATGATACGCATCTGGCAAAATATTCCTATACAGAATTCTATTTCTATAAGCCATTTTGATAGTTGCCTGTTGGCACTCACATTATTCAGCATAGATTGACTGTTAGCTGACAATTATGAATTTAGCTGACAATTATGAACATATTGCTTGTTTAACATTAGCAATGACTTACTGAAAAGGGCACCTGGCTTAATCCTAAATTTCCCAGT